AGCTTGGTTATCGTGTGGATATGGTTGATGGTGCTGAATCCTTTGCGGAACCCTGCTTGCTCGAATGGTTGTCCTTCATCTAGTGTTCTGCCAATCCTATTTAGGATGACTTGAGTGAACAACTTGTAGATGACAGACAATAGGCAGATCGGGCGCTAGTTGCCAATGTCATGGATGTCTCCCTTCTTGAACAGTAGTATGGTCCTGCTGGTTTTCCATTGGGATGGAACCTTGCATTCAGACAGGTAGCGAGTGAAGAGCCGAGCCAGTGTATTGATGAGTACTGACGGCAGGTTCTTCAGGTGTTCAGGTCTGACCTTGTCTGGGCCGGGTGCTGTTTTTTTCTTTACCGAGGAAATGGCGTGCCAGATTTCAGAAGGGAGAACGTTGGGAACGACATATCCATCCTGTGGAATTTGGTATGTCGGCAAGTGGACATGGCTATCGAAGAGATTTGAGTAGAAGTCATGGATAATCTTCTCCATTGCCGTTCTGGAGGATGTGATGGATCCATCAGGACGTCGGAGGGCAGTCATCTTGGTCTTATAGTTGGCGAAGGACAGGCGGGCGTTACGAATACTTTTCCCGGCTTCTGCCGCATCTACCAGTACTTCTGCTCTTCTCTCTTTGACGTCTTCCTTGATCGCATCTCTGCACTGTTTTGCGAGCTCGGACGTTAGCTTGCAGTTGCCTGAGGCATGCACCAAACCACGCTGGCGAATTAGATCAAGAGTTTTCGAAGATAGGCGACTTTTTGTGGCTATCTCTCTCTTGGCGTTCCTCGCACATTCATGGAGGTGCTGAACCAGTCGATCGTATTCCTCGTCAATGTTGTCTACAATGGCATCTTCCCATGTTGCCGCAATAGTATCAAAGAGTTCCCAGTTGGTGGTCATTCTGGGAGTTCTCTTTTTGAACTTTGCAGCCCTTTCTCCCCGGTCTGTGAAGTAGAATTTTGCACGGAGACGGTGGTCCGATCCCGTTCGAAATTTTGGGACAACAGCGACATCAGTCAGGCAAAACCGTCGATTGAATATGATGTGGTCTATTTCGTTGTGGAATCGTCCACCGGGAGACTCCCATGTCCATCGTTTAGATTCTGCCTTCTGGAACTGTGAGTTACCATGAATGGTCTTGGTCGACATGATGAACTCAGACAGTCTCTCACCCTGTTCGTTCCATTCTAGGCCATGGGTCCCGATGTGAAGTTCTTCAGCTGATATTCTCGGTCCTATCTTGGCATTATAATCACCCACAATGATCTTGTAGAAGGTGTGGTCTTCTTTATAGAACTTCTCTAGCTCCATGTAGAACTTCTCGATTTCTCTTTCATCATAATGAGATGTTGGTGCGTAGACAACGAAGATAGAAACTGCAGGCAGTGAGCCACATCTATTCAAATGTAAACGTCTGATTCGGGTTGTTAGGCATTCGAATGAATCAATGCTCTTGGCCAAGTTTGTGTTGACAAGGACACCGATGCCTCTGACACCTCTTTTATCGCATGTTCCGAGGAACAATTCTTCTCCAGTGTCGAAAACGGCATGGTGAGATTCGTGCCTTCTTGTCTCGGTCAGACCAATGATGTCGTACTTGATCATTCGCGCTTGTACCATCAGGTCCTCGATGGATGCATCTGATGCTAGCGTACGTGCATTGAAAGTACAGACGATCATTTTTGTCTTCCTTTGTTGTGGCAGCCTAGGTCGGCCTTGAGATTTTGTCGGCCTCTCCTTTCTCATCCTTCTCAGAGCTGCCATGTCGGTGAAGCCTTCAGGGTCAGGTGAATGAGACCAGTTGTCGTTACTGGTTTTGGCATATCGAATACACAGCGGATAGCTTGCCAGGCTCTTCTGTGCGGGCGGAATACTCTCGGTAGCTTGCCAGTCTTTCCGAGAGGGATAGAGGCTTTTGGGGTGACCTCTAATCACCCTTGTAGGTGTTACCATATTTGAACCCTATCAAATATGGTATGACAATTCTGGAAGATGGGTATTTAGTGTCTTATGATGTGTTGCGCGGCGCAAAGCGGCCGCGCGGGTCAGGATAGCGTCCTGGAGTGTGGCGACGGCTGGGTAGTGGAAGTAGTGTTGAGAGTGGAAGTCTGCCAGTGGGGTATTTATCTGGGTAGGGTGGGTCTCCTGTGCTCAATTCGATCCCTGGGTGGTTGATGGAAGCAGACAGGGCAGGGTAGGGTGGGGCTCCTGATTAGTATCCCTTTGTCACCTGTGGTGGTGGGAGCAAGCAGAGAAGCTCTGTCCCTGGGTCCGCCGAGCCTGGAGTCCAAGGTCTCAGAGAGTTCTGCTTATCTTGTTCTGTGGGTCTTCAGTCGTGCGTGGGTCTCGGCCGGAGCTGCCACACGGGTCCGGAAAGCATCCTGGAGTGTGGCGACGGCTGGGTAGTGGAAGCATTGAGGAAAGAGCAAACAAAAGCCTGGAAGAAATTGCAGCAACAAAAAGAACAGGAAAGACAAAAAGACGAGGATCAGAGGAAACAAGCTGAAGAAGAAGAGAGGAGGAAAAGAGAAGAAGAAATCAGAAAAATTCGAGATCTTTCAAATCAGGAGGACCAATATAATAGATTCATGAAATTAGTTGGTGGAAAGAGGAGATCAAGAAGTAAATCTTCAGATCCTGACCTAAGAAGATCCCTAGATAAGCAACCTACTGATAGTGGAGGAGGGATTTATCAGTATGATAACTATGAAGAAGTTGCTATGGATACAGATAGTGAAACCAATTCTCCAGCTCCTTCACCAGTGCAGCCACCATTCTTCTCTGAATGTTCACTGGGGTATTTTTCTTCAGCACCATCTATTTCTTTGCCTCCACCACCTCAGGTTTCTTCTCTGCCTCCTTTGAGCCAGCCTTACGTGGAAGGGTTGTGCGTTTCTCATGAACCTCTACCTCCTCCACCACCCTTACCACCTCTCCCTCCTGAGGATCCAGAGCAGCCTCCAAAACCACCTTTTGCAGATGAGGAAGAGATGCTGCTTCGAGAAGAGCTGCTTAAATCTCTAGCAAATAAAAGAGCTTTTAAACCAGAGGAAACATCCAGTAACAGTGACCCACCCTCACCTCCAGTTCTGAACAATTCACAGCCTGTGCCAAGAAACAATCTATCTGTTGTCAGTATTAATACAGTATCTCAGCCTAGAATACAGAATCCAAAGTTTCACAGAGGACCTCGCCTTCCACGAACTGTAATATCGCTTCCAAAACATAAATCAGTGGTTGTAACGCTGAGTGAGTCAGATGACAGTGAATCTGAGGGAGAGGCTTCCAAGTCAACAAACAGTGTTTTTGGTGGATTGGAGTCCATGATTAAAGAAGCAAGACGCACTGCTGAGCAAGCTTCAAAACCAAAAGTACCACCAAAATCCGAGAAAGAAGATGATCCCATGCGTACACCTGAAGCATTGCCTGAAGAAAAGAAAATTGAATATAGATTGTTAAAGGAAGAGATTGCCAATCGAGAGAAACAGCGTTTAATTAAATCAGATCAGCTGAAGACAAGTTCATCATCTCCCGCAAGTTCTGATGTGGAAATTGATGGAATTGGCAGAGTAGCAATGGTTACTAAGCAGGTTACAGATGCTGAAGCAAAACTTAAAAACATAGAATTCTCTTGATGAAAGATGAATCTGTTTTAAAGAATCTAATACAACAGGAAGCTAAGAAGAGAGAACCTGTTCGAAATGCCGAAACGAAGATTACAAAACTTACAGAACAGCTTCCAGCAACAGAGAAAATTCTCACTGTCAATAGAATGTTTTTGAAAAAGCTTCAAGAACAAATTCACAGAGTTCAAAAGCATGCTACAGTTAAGAAAGCTTTGACTCAAGTATGGAGAAGAGCTTGCTCGGGCAAAAGCAGTGGCTAGTAAAGAAATAGGAAAACATAAACTGGAACAGGATCGCCTTGGACCAAACAAGAACAAAATATTTAATATAAAAGTTCAGCTGCCAACTATGACCCAGACATCCAAAGGTTATGGCACATTTGGCAGGAATTTCTGCCTGAACAGTTGGCTGTGACTAAGCAGCAGCTGCCCTGAGATCCCAGAGTGGAACTGGTCACCTTTGCCCATGTAGCTTCTTCCTTGGTCCTGGAGGACTGTGGGACTGAGCCTCCTGCCAAGAGTCTCTTTGGGCTATCATCTCATTTTTTCACCTCAGTTTTTTAGCAGAGATAATTCTTTCCTTCCAACAAAATTCTCTGTTGCTTGTTACAAATAGGAATAAAGTGATGACTTCAGGATATCAATACCAGGCAAAGAAATCACCCATGAAAACATATAAGAGCCTCTTACTCCAAAGAAAGCACTATCCTCTCATGTTCCTTTCCTGTACAAATCAACACCTCTGCACTGAAGTGTTGGGTTTTTGTGAGTGTCTCTTAACACTGTTTTCAATGGGCAAGTTATTTGCTCCCAGAGATTATGAAGGTGATAATACTCCTTTTATACTATCACTATACAAAGCACATATCTTTTTACTTGTATTTCATCATTTAGTCTTTTTTGTACATGCACACCTATATGTGCCAGGGACCTAAACCAGGGTCACAGTCAATGCAGCCATATGCAAGACAAGTACCTTTCTCTGACCCATATACTCATATATTTTTTAAAGTGTGATTATATAATATAACCATTTTGTCAGAAGTCCTTTCTGATTCCATTGACTATTCTTTCAAAATGCATTTTTGTGCCTACTAAATATTCTAATACATGGATAAACTAAAATTTAATCACATATGTTATGTTTTAAAATTTCCATTTTATCTATTATAATTATCACTATAATGAATTTTAAAATTTCTACCTGTTACATCTACGATAGCTTTCATAGATTGTATTTGTGGAAGCTAACTAATCTTATATTTATAGCTTTAAAAATCTATAATGACGACACATAATGGTTTAGAATTTCTCTTTTTCACGTGTGCTTGTGTGCCCGATGAGAAATCCTGTTGCCAATACAGTCTTTATATTTTCAGGTATTTTCAGATGTATTTGCTCAGATCATTAGTGGAGATTCCTCCAGTGACAAAATTGCTCAGTCTTCAAGTACACCAGGTAAAGTATTATTTTTGGGAGTGGGGAACCATACACACCAGTGCTCCGGGGATAATTCTGGCTCTAGGGTGACCTGTGACTCATGCTCAGGGGATCATATGTTATATCAGGGATTTGAGCCAGGGTAGCAGCTATGTGTCCATAGTCATGTTCAGGCAAATATATTATTTCTCATGCTATATTTCTGACCCTAAATAAAGATTTTAACCTAAGAAATTAATTGTTGCTTCTAAGAAACTATTCAGTGATAAGTAAAAATTGTATTTGTGATTTTGTGGGGAAATTAACTTATGATAAAAGTAGTAGATTAAATTATATTTCATACACCTGAGTCTGCAAGACACTGGCCATGTGAATAAGATCTGTAGCAACAGATAGTTCCAACTTCTGGGTCATTTTGAGATCGGTGTCTATTTATCTTCACATTTGAGAATTGGGCCCATTTTCCTGGTTCTTTTATGAAAAGCAATTTTGGATTACAGTAAGTTGTTTTAAATACTATGTTGTAATACTTGGATCCTGTTTTCATCTGGAGAAGAATGATTCTTGTTGGACATAAATTAATCAGCTAAAATTATGCTAAAATTTCTGTCTCTTCTTCTGTGTGGATCACAATTCTCAGGAACATTCCATCCTCAAAAACTTCTGATTGGGTCTCCCCTATATGTGCTATTCAGGGATAAGTGAATGATTTGTTTCAGTCCTCACACTGAGCAGGAAACCACTATCTCCCACTTGCACAGCTCTTGGCTTCCTCTAACTATAACCTATCTGTAATGTTACTCATAATTTTGTGTCAGGAATGTCATTTGAAAAGTCAGTAGAGAGGGCACTGAAGAGGTAGTACAGCAGGTGGATGTTTTACTTGCATATGGCTGACCCAAGTTAAAATCCCAGGCACCGTAGGAGTGATCCCTAAGCACAGAGCCAGCTGTAAGTCTGAGAACCACCCAGGGTGGCCCAGAACCAAAAAACAAAATAGTGAAGAGGAAAAAAATACATGAAAAAAAAACAACAAAAAATTCACCAGCATCTAATCAGTGTATAATTTCATAAGTATATAGTTTCAGACCACAATGTGGTCTATCTTGATTCTCTGGACAGAAATATAATATGTCTCTCACAGTACATAACTTGATATAGAGCCAAAGTGCATTTCTGCAACTGTTGTCACGTTGGGGCAGTACCTGGAAGTTTAAAAAGTGAAAATAATATAAAAAGTAATAAGAATTCCCTAAATACCCATAAAGCTCTCAGTGCCCATTTGTGCAGTCCTCTGACCACAGGTGCTGGGAATCTTTAACATTTGTCTGTCTGTGCCCTCTGTGATGTTCTTTAGCTAGACACCCTTGGGTCAAAGTTAAGAGAGAAAGGAGGAAAAGGTTCAAACAGAACAGAATGCGAACTTCTGCAGATACAACTTGCTTCTTGAAGTTTTGACTCTTCATTCTTTTTGTCTCAGTTTTGTATTTGTCACTGAGTTCGATTCCTCCACCCCTCTCGGAGAGCCCGGCAAGCTACCGAGAGTATCTCGCCCGCACGGCAGAGCCTGGCAAGCTCCCTGTGATGTACTCGTTATGCCAAACACAGTAACAACAAAGTCTCCAATGGAGACGTTACTGGGCCCGCTCGAGCAAATCGATGATCAACGGGAGGGCCTTTACCTTTACCTTTTACAAATATTCATTTATACATTCTGCAGAGATAAATGGGGTTAAGACACTTGCCTTACATGTATCTTGTTGGGGAACAGTTTTTTCCCCAAGGTGCCTGGAACTGTTGCACACAGGGTACGGGCAGGTGCTTGGGCATGAGGCGAAGGGTGATGAGCGTGCGGAGAAACAGGAGCAGTTGATGGCGACTCACTTTATTGCCAAATATACACACATTTTATAGAGTGCCTTGGCTTACAGGAAGATCCAATTACATGAAGTTTAGCATTATTGGCCTGTTACCCTTTCTTCTCTGCCTTTGTCCTGGTCCAATCCCATTCAAGGCTAAATGCTGCAGTTAGGATGACATGCTAAGGGTACTTGACAGTTTTTTGCATTTTTTGATGTATGTATCTAGGAGACTGAGTGAAGCTCAAGGCAGACACCTGGTACTGACATCCTGTTTTTCTAACTTTGCCCAGATACTTCCTTGTGCGAGGATTTGCTTGTGGGCTGCTTTGCAAGGTCTTGGTCCTATCTCTTACAGTGCCTGTCGCCATACTCCATAGTGTCTCATTTAGCTTTAATCCCAGCACTGAATATAATCCCCCAAACACCACCAGGAGTGATCCTGAGACCAGAGCCAAGAGAAATCCCTGAGAATGGATGGCCATGGCTATAACTGCCCCCATCCCAAATGACCAGTGTACAAATAGTATAAAATGTTTGTGTTTTGGATTCGTCAGCTCTTTGTATTTATCATGCTTTCCATATTATCAGTGAATAAACTTCCGTTTAATGTGCATAAAAAATCCACACACAATACGTATTCTATTTACACAGAATAAACACAGAATCACAGAATCCCTGGGTCAAGGTGTAGGTCTGGTTGTAGGTCAAATATAAGAAAAGAAGGGGTCCTGAAGGGGTCCACATGAGGAACATGAGACCAGTGCCATTCTAACTGTTGTTGACCTGATTATTAACTCAATTCGTTTCAAGATTTCTATGGGGCCGTTTCTACATCTACAATGGGAGAGCATGAAATGAAGATTGGACCCATCATCTTCCAGGTGGCCAGTGGAGATATCACCAGGGAAGAGGCAGATGTGATTGTAAATTCAACATCAAATACATTTAATTACAAAGCAGGTACTTTGCTTATATTATTTTGATTGTGTAACAGTCATAATAGATACCAGGAAGGAGGTTTCTCAGTCAAACTATCCTAAAATGCATGTATTAACTAAGTTAATACAACTTTTGCTTATTCATAATGATAATTTAAAAATTAATTTATTACACGGTTTTCATAATTTTTAACTTCTTTTGTTTGGAGGCCATACCTGACAGTGTTCAGGGCTTACTCCTAGCTCTGCACACAGAGATCATTTTAGTAGTCTCAGGTCCGCATTGGATCCCTGGGATCTAACCTGGGTTGGCCATGTGCAAGATAAATGCCCTACCCACCGTACTATCACTCTGGCCCTTAAAATTGTAACATATTAATTTCTCCTTTTATTAAAGATATTTATATAATTAGATTTCTAAGATGATGGTAGAAATCATTTAACTAATAACAAAATAATTTTAATCCATGTGTGCTGTAGTGACTGTTCAAAATTTGATTATGCATTAGATACCATGGTTACAGTCATATTAAGTATGTGGTATTGATATACACTGTGCCCACCACTACCAGTGTCCACATTCCTCCACCACAGTCTCTAAGCTACTTCTAGTCCTTTTCTCATTCTCCCATCCAAGGTCAAGTTTTCAGCAGTGTTTTCCCCAAATTCTATTTTATTAAAGCACCCTGATTTACTAAATTATTCATAGTTGCATTTTAGGCATACAATATTCTATCACCGAAATCTGCCACTAGCGTCAGCTTCCCTCCACCAGTATTCCCAGTTTCCCTGTCCTACCTCCTACCAGCCTGCCATCTTTACAGGCACCTTTAAAAGTTTATTTAGCAAGCATATTTATAATTAAAGCTCAAGGACTTGTCATCATTAGATATTGTCTATTCTCTTGTTTTGTCTCTCTGTATTTCAGTTGAGTGATATCATCCAGTATTTGCCCTTCTGTCTCTGACGTATTTTGCTTAACATGATACCTTCTAGTTTGACCCACATTGTAGAAAAATGCATGATTTCAACTTTCAACTGCAAAATAATCCATTTTGTACATATATTACATCTTTATTATTTATTGATCTGTTGTTGTATATGTTGTTTTCATATAAAGGCATTTGTACTAAGCACTGCAATAAATATAACTGCACATATGTAGTTTCCAATTAATCTGTTTATTCTCCAGGAGTATATGTCAAGAAGTAGAATTGCTGGAGTGTGCAATAGTTCTTTTCTTTTTACTTCTATAGGAAATTTCCATATGCCTTTCGATAAGGTCTGAACTACACATTATTCCATCCTACAGTGGATGAAGATTCTTTTACCACCACAGCCTACCTAAAATAGTTATTTCCAGTTTTTTATATATTCAGTTCTAATTGTGTGAGATTAAAACTCATTTATTTCTTTTGCTTTGTTTTATTAGTGAAACACCATGCTGTATAGTTGTAGACTTACAAGTTGTTGTGCTTGAGTTTCAGTTATACAATGATTGAGTACCCATCCCACCACCAGTGCCCATTCTCCACCCCCACCAATCCCAGTATGCCTCCCACCCCCCCATCCCCCACTACACCCTGCCTCTGGGGCAGGGAACTTCCTTTTGTTCTCTCTCTCCTTTTGGGTGCTGTAGTCTGCAGAAGAGACATTGGGTGGCAATCATGTTCAGTCTATAGTCAACTTTCAGCATGCATCTCCCATTCTGGGCGGATCTTCCCAGCACCTTTTATTTGGTGTTCCCTTCTCTATCTGAGCTGCCTTTACCCCTAGAGTGTGCGGCTGGCCTCTAAGCCATGGAGTGAACAATCTGGTATTTATCACAGCTGTTCTTGGGTGTTAGTCTCTTATTTTGTTACTTTATGTTACCCAGATGAATGCAATCTTTCTATGTCTGTCCCTCTCTTTCTGACTCATTTCGCTTAGCATGATATTTTCCATGCAGTACCACTTGTATGTAAATTTTATGACTCATTTTTTCTAACAGCTACATAGTACTACATTGTGTAGATGTATCAAAGTTTCTTTAACCAGTCATCTGTTCTCGGGCACTCAGGTTTTTTCCATATTCTAACTATTGTAAACAGTGCTGCAATGAACAAACAAGCGCCAATGTCACTTTGACTATACTTTTTTGCCTCTCCGGGGTATATTCCCGGGAGTAGTATTGCTGGGTCAAATGGGAGCTCAATTTCTAATTTTTTGAGAATCGTCCATACTGTTTTCCAATAGGGTTGAACCAGTCCGCATTCCCACCAGCAGTGAAGGAGGGTCCCTTTCTCGCCACATCCACGCCAACACAGATTGCTTTTGTTCTTTTGAATGTGGGTCAGTCTCTGTGGTATGAAATGATATCTCACTGTGGTTTTGATCTGCATCTCCCTGATGATTAATGATGTAGAGCATTTTCTCATGTGCCTTTTAGCCATTCGGATTTCTTCTTTGAGAAAGTATCTGTTCATTTTGTTGCCCCACTTTTTGATGGGGTTGGATGTTTTCTTCTTGTGTAGTTCAACCAGAACTTTGTATATTCTTGATATCAACCCCTTGTTGGATGTGTATTTGGCGAATATCCTTTCCCATTCTGTGGACTGTCTTTGTATTTTGGTCACTGTATCTTTTGAGGTGCATAAGCTTCTTAGTTTAAGATAGTCCCATTTAAGAGAACTACAGGCCGATATCCCTGATGAACACAGATGCAAAGATCCTCAACAAACTACTAGCAAATAGAATCCAACTACTCATCAAAAAGATCATACACCATGACCAAGTAGGATTCATCCCAGGGATGCAAGGATGGTTCAACATTCGGAAATCAAGCAACATAATCCATCATATCAACAAAAGAAAAGATAAAAAGCATATGATCATATCAATAGATGCAGAGAAAGCATTTGACAAGATCCAGCACCCCTTTATGATGAAAACCCTAGCCAAAATGGGTATAGAGGTGACTTTCCTCAGCACAGTTAAAGCCATCTACCACAAGCCTACAGCAAGCATCATCCTCAATGGGGAAAAACTGAGAGCCTTCCCTCTAAGATCAGGGACGAGACAAGGATGCCCACTCTCTCCACTGCTGTTCAATATAGTACTGGAAGTACTTGCAATAGCAATTAGGCAAGAAAAAGATATTAAGGGCATTCAGGTAGGAAAGGAAGAAATCAAGCTCTCACTATTCGCAGATGATATGATACTCTACTTAGAGAACCCAATAACTTCCACCAAAAAACTCCTAGAAACAATAGACTCGTATAGTAAAGTTGCAGGTTATAAAATCAATTCCCAAAAGGCCATGGCTTTCCTATACACAAACAGTGAGAGAGAGGAAAGCTATATGAAAAAATCAATCCCGTTCACAATTGTGCCCCAGAAAATCAAGTACCTAGGAATCAGCTTAACTAAGGAAGTAAAGGACCTGTACAAAGAAAACTACAAAACGCTACTTCAGGAAATAAAAGAGGACATGAGGAAATGGAAAGACATCCCCTGCTCATGGGTCGGGAGACTTAACATTGTCAAAATGGCAATACTACCGAAAGCACTGTACAAATTCAATGCAATTCCTATAAGGATACCCATGACATTCTTCAAAGAAATGGAGCAAATACTCCTGAAATTTATATGGAACAATAAACCCCCACGAATAGCTAAAGCAATTCTTGGGAAAAAGAAAATGGGAGGAATCAACCTCCCTAACTTCAAACTTTACTACAAAGCGGTAATAATCAAAACAGCATGGTACTGGAACAAAGGCAGAACTGCAGACCAATGGAACAGAGTTGAATACACTGACATCTCCCCTCAATCATATGATCATCTAATCTTTGACAAAGGTGCAAGAAATGTGAAGTGGAGTAAGGAAAGCCTCTTTAACAAATTGTGCTGGCATCACTGGACGGCTACATGCAAAAAAATGGGCTCAGAACTCTGCCTAACACCATGTACAAAGGTAAGATCAAAATGGATTAAAGACCTCAACATCAGACCAGAAACCATAAGATACATTGAAGACAAAGTTGGCAAAACCCTCCATGACATTGAGGCTAATGGTATGTTCAAAGATGACACGCCACTGGCTGAGCAAGTGAAAACAGAGATAGATAAATGGGACTATCTTAAACTAAGAAGCTTCTGCACCTCCAAAGAAACAGTGACCAAAATACAAAGACAGTCTACAGAATGGGAAAGAATATTCGCTGAATACACATCTGACAAGGGGTTGATATCAAGGATATATGAAATACTGGTTGAACTCCACAAGAAGAAAACATCCAACCCCATCCAAAAATGGGGCAATGAAATGAACAGAAACTTTCTCAAAGAAGAAATCCGAATGGCAAAAAAGCACATGAGAAAATGCTCTACATCATTAATCATCAGGGAGATGCAGATCAAAACCACAATGAGATACCATCTCACACCTCAGAGACTGGCCCACATTCAAAAGAACAAAAGCAACCGATGCTGGTGCGGATGTGGCGAGAAAGGGACACTCCTTCACTGTTGGTGGGAATGTCCACTGGTTCAGCCCTTTTGGAAAACAGTATTGACATTCCTCAAAAAATTAGAAATTGAGCTCCCATTTGACCCAGCGATACCACTCCTGGGAATATATCCCAGAGAGGCAAAAATGTGTAGCCGAAGTGACATCTGCACTTGTTTGTTCATTGCAGCACTCTTTACAGTAGCCAGAAACTGGAAGAGACCTGAATGCCCAAGAACAGATGACTGGTTAAAGAAACTTTGGTACATCTACACAATGGAGTACTATGTAGCTCTTAGAAAAGATGAAGTCATGAACTTTACATACAAGTGGTACAATATGGAAAGTATCATGCTAAGCGAAATGAGTCAGAAAGAGAGGGATAGACATAGAAAGATTGCATTCATCTGGGGGATATAAAGTAACAAAATATGAGATTAATACCCAAGAATAGCTGAGAGCAACACCAGGAGAATTACTCCATAACTTAGAGGCCAGCCGGGTATTCTAGGGGAAAGGACAATTCAGATAGA